CAGCCAGTAATGTTGCAACTGATTGGTGCGAGCCGCACCTCACCTGCTGTTGCGTTAACATACCTTGTATTGTTATTTTGAAAATACTGCTCAATTTTGCGCACCAAGTATGAGTTTTGGGAGAGAAAAAGAGCGCGCGACGTCACTGGGCAGGCAACGGACAATGTTGCTAAGGCTACACCTTGTTCTCCCAATTCACCCTGCAAACGTTTTTACGAGCAACATTTGCTGCCCGAACCAAAAAACCGAAAGAGCACGAACCACATGTTCGTGCCTCTTTTTTGGCTCTCGTGTGTTTTCGGCCAACTTCGGTGCTCTTTGAGCCGAAGTGTAGCGGTAAAAACGGTTTCCATTCGGCATTTTTCTCACATTTGTTTTGCTTTCGCAGTTCGCCATGCCAAAAGAGAGCCGCCGCCGGCGTGTGGATGCTAAGAGAGAGAGACAGAGAGAGAGACTCCACCAATGTGTGGATGCTATCTAACTCTAAGAGAAATGACAGTAGCGTTGCCGTAGCCGTAGCTTTGTGCTATTTTTGGGTACCCTTTTTTTTCAAGTGGTGGAGTGTACCGTTTGAGGTACTTGTAAAAACATGAAAGCGAAAATGTCCTGAGACTGAGACGCACTCCAAAAACAGAAATGGAAAAAACGGGAAACAAGAAAAATGGGCACACTAACAATAAATCACGTGCGGTGCGGTGCGGTACGTACCCCCCTCCGCCTACCCATCGCTCCAACTTTCAGGTGGTGTGTGGTGCGTCAGCTATTTTTCCAATCAAAAAGGAAAAGTGTAACGGGGTCGGAACGGAACGGAACGGTTGGGGATGTCATAGAAATGGCTAACAAATCATTTGCCATATTTAGAAAACTACTTGAACTGTAAAGGGGTGTGGGGGTGTTATGCAACTCTGTCACTAACTAACTTTAATAGGCCCCCCCCCCCCACCCGCTCTATGCTGCTCTGTAGCTCTTGCACTAGGAATGTGGCAAACTGGAACGCGGGATCTGTGGAGCGTGTGAGAAGTGGACTTTGATTGGAAGCTGAGGAGCTGTGGAGTAGGAAGGAGACAGTGCGATCTGTGGAGAGTGTGAGAGGGGGATGGGATGGGAAGAAAGGCAACTGCAATGCGATCTGTGGATTCCATGAAGTTGGTGCAGTGGACTTTGACTGAATCGAAGCCTATTAAAGAGAGTGACCTGAGAAAGAGTGCATGATGGGGGAGTGGTGGTGAGGGGGAGTGGATCGAAATCTATTGGGGACTGGTTCCGCAGCGACCCATTATGGAGTGGGGGCAGAGAGACCTAGGAGTGTCCCCATAGACACCGACTGTGGCACGAAAATTGCCATGGACCACAAGCCATGAACAACACTTAAAACTTCATTCGGTGGACGCTGTGCCACCGTGCCCCCCTCCCACACATGTTCCCCTCTCTTCATACATTTTTTACTAGCTCCTCCCCGCTATCTTACTGCCCCCCCCCCCTCTGATGGCCTATGTTACTGCGAGAGTTTCGGGTTTTTTTACCGCTGTTTCTCCTTCGCTTCTTCTCCTTCTTTTTCCCAGCGTTTTCTTCTCCTTTTTTTTTACCGGCGGTGTGGAAGTTTGAAACTTGCACTTTTTTTCATGGCATGTGTGTGGGCGGGAGGTGGGTACACTGATAGAAGGGGTGTGGAAAGAAAGAGAAAAAAGAGAGGGAGAGAGAGGAGTTTAAAGTGTAAAAAGAGGATTTGGGATAGATGCAGACGCAGCGTAACAACGGTAAATGGGATCAGATGGAGTAGGAGCAGGGATAGAGCAGATGAAGTGGATAGAGGAGAGCAGCACCAGAGGATACATAGATGTGTATTAGAACGGTGCAGCGATGGGGAACAGCGTAGTTTTTTGGAAAGCAAGCTGAGTAAGGGGACTGCGGAAGAAGGGAAGAGCGCAGAGTGGGGTCTAAGGTTTTCCGCGCCAGAGTTCATTAGCTATTAAACGAGAGAGAGACAGAGAGAGGGAGAGTGGCGGTGGCACAGGAGGGAAATGAAAGGCCACTTAATTCTACATGCATGACCGAATATCCTATCCGATAGCTGGAATACAATAAAAAGCTCTTCAGAGCGGTATAATCAATATAATGGACCCATCACAAAACAGTAACTCTTCCGAAATGTGAACTATTTTAGACCCATTTTACCCCTACCCCTACCCCTTACACTAAAAACATTCATCAATAATTCATAGACGTTTATAAGCGATTCGTAAACGTTAAATCACACATTTCTACCCTTCAAACAGTACAGGGTACGGGGGGGTAACAGTTGTAACCGAACCCATGGGAAAACTAACCTCAAACTAAAAGAAAACTGTAACTGTAATTGCAGCTACTTTTCCCCTGCTACGAATTCTTAATATATTGTAGGTATATATTACAAAAAAAGGTTATTTTTTTTGTGTTTTAGCCATCCGATAATTTGTCATAAAAATTGATCAAACAAGCCAAGCCAAGTCGGTGGAATAATGACAAAATGCAATTTGCATGTCATGACAAAAAAAAAACCCTCCCACCTTCTGTGCCTAGTTTGTGTACCGCCCTGCACCTGCCCCTGCCTGCCCACCATATATCATTTATCCTTGAAGAGAGGCATATTGCATGTGTGTGGCTCATAGAGGGGATAGAGGGGATGGCAAGTACAACGACAGGCAGTCACGATAAACCATTTACAATATTTATTTATTCATAACTCACCAAAGTAGAATTAACTTTGCATACACAAGATTCCACCTTATACACAATGTTGCAGGAGTTACTTATGTATGTATGTATGTAGCTGCTGTTTTTAGCTATAGTTACAGTTTATTTCTTCCCCCGTTTGGTTAGTTTATTTTACCCCCCTTTTGGTTAGTTCTTTTTTTTTTTTGTTTAATGCTGAGCGCTGAGGTTTCATGTCAGGCCACGATTTCCTAAGCGATTTGCGTACACAAATTGAAAATTGTCGCTCGACGTCTCCTGACGTGATTGTTAGTCATAAGTTTTTGTGTTATTTATTGTTGGTTGTTTTTTTTTTCCCCGCCCCAAAAGCAACTTATCAAGGGTTAGTCCTTTAATCTTGTTTATGCATGGAAAACAATATACCAAAGATTGAATTTTCCTCTTGCTGTCTTATGGGAAACCAAACAGTTTGAGTTACAAGTACTTTTTTTTGAGTATATTATTCTGGGCTGTTCAAACACATCATAGACATTGGCATAACCTATGGCGAAGTACTTTAGATATCAGGTAGAAGGCAGACAGTCGTCGGTAGGCCAACAGCCGGTCCTGGTCCTGGTCTCTGGCCGATGGCTCGCACCAAAAACACAAGACAGGTGCAGGCTGCCTTCGACTTGGACTCTGAGTTAAGGAAACACATGCCACGAATTCAGGTGTGTGTGTGTTTTTATTTTCGGGGCATATGCTTTATGTACATATGTACATACTCATATTTTTCATGGTTTTCTCGTTTGGTTTTTTGTTTCTTTTTCGGGGGTTACTTTTTATGCATTTCGAGCAAGGTGAATGCACTCCACGTTGGGATATTCGTATTCGGGGAAACCAGTCCAAAATGCGAGTCAGTGTCCAGTCTAAGTACTCTGCACTGCAAATGCAATTGCCAGAAGACAATGACAATGGTCTGGTCTGGTCTGGTCAGGTCTGGTCTGTGGGGTACATAGGAACACAGCGACATAGACCCACAGACAGTACTTACACTAAGGGGAAAAGGTTGAACAAGAAATATGTTTTGCGCTCTTCAAATTATGATGAATATTTGTATTTGAAATAGGAAACATTTAAATGGAAATAATATTTTTAATCATAAAAGAATTATTATAATTATTAAGTATTATATTATATTAATTAATGGAAATAATATTTTTAATCTTAAAAGAAATTTTTATAGAAAATAGAGAATGGAAAAGCATTTGTAATACCCTCATTTTAGGCTTGAAATGGAAGTAATTAATCTATTAACATAGCATTATGAAAGTAGAGATCTGAAGGTAGGGCAGATGAAAAGTAAAGCCAGAGTACGGGGTAATCGATCGAATTTATACCTAAATTTACATCTTAATATAAAACTATTGAAATACTCTTTTTTTTAGGTTCTCTATAAGCAATTTCCTTGACTTTTGCATGCATAAAACTCTAATGAATTCTCTGCGCTGCTTCAAAGATCATTTTGAATATTTTCTTTCCAGTGTAGACACTGAAAATTCCTACCAGTCAGTCGAGTCATTGCGGGGCACTTACTTGCCATGAGTTTGCCACTTTTCCTCTTTTTTGTTGTTGTTGTTGTTGTCTTTTTCGTTGTCTTTTTACTCTATGGAACGAAGTTGCAGAGTTGCAGAGTCGGAGTCACAGAGTCGCAGACTCGGACAATGGCAATGACCACCACAAGCGACGGGGCCATGTCGGACACATAATGCAATAAACAATCATAGAAATGCATAATGCATGTCAGATTAAGAAATTATTAGCCGCATGCGCAAGTTGATGGAAGTTTTCGTAGTCTCCGTCGTCGTCTGGCTAGCGGTTCTCTAACTTTAGCTGTGCCTCCCTTTTACAGCAGGGAATGGAGAGGCAAAGAGTTTTTCCTAAGCTAATTTCTCAGCGAAATTATATTAGTGTGGGGTCATATGGTCATATTCATTTGAAGTTAATCGTTTTTTAAGAGGTGAAACTGGTGGGAAAACAATATATAGGATATATAATAACGGTTGGAATTTTTTTACTAGCGGAAACATTTGAGAAATCATTTCTATATTATTTATTATATATGTATATATTATATTATATTATATTATATTATATTATATTATATTATATTATATTATATTATATTATATTATATTATATATTTTTCATAATAAAAGCGGTTTAATGCTGACAAAATGTGGTTTTCCTTTGGGAAATGTTGAAAATTATTTATTTAATTCTGATTTCTGATTATGTCTGACATGTGAATATCCATTATATTTTTACAGAATAAATCAAAAAAGGATCGCATATTAAATGCATGTTCAATGGTAAGTAAAATCGGCTTTTTATTCTGGTAAAACTTTATTATATTTCTTACTTTTATATCAACAGATAAAAGTAGAATTTGTTCAATTTTTATAACTATAAATCATGGAAAAAATTTGTATAAAGACAGCAAGACTTGTACTAGTGCAACTTTTATTCAGTATTTTCTACCAATTCGAAATATTTCTCTTTATTTGGAAATGGAAAGAATGCCTCATGCAATGCACTTTTTTTGACCATTTAATTGAAGTAGAAACTACAAGCAATAGATTTCCATAGAGTTTCACCCTTTCCGGCTGCTGATTGACTGATGTTAGATGGGATTTCCATTCAACGAAAGACAGACAAAAGTTTGTGTCAAAACCCAAACAATTGAGAGTTATGCAATGCGTCTGTCTGTCTGTCCGTCTGTCTGTCTGCCTTAAAGCTGCTGCCAAACCCTGCAGCACAGAGCCATAAGAGCAATAATTTGAATAGTTTCGGTTGGGTAGAGGGGCAGGGCGTGCAGTACGTGGACGAGTGGGAGATCTGTGGGAGGGTATGGCGGCAGGTCGCACAGCTGGGGGAGACAAATGTTGTCGGCCATGCTTCAATGCGTGCGCAGCGGCGAATGCTTCCGTTTCCGTTCTTAATAGCTTTATTGTGATTTACTCAACAACAAACAACGGGCAGAGAGACAGCAGCAGAAGCAAAAGCAATCAACGGAATTACAACAGCGTTAAAAAAGGCAACAACAGCAGCAGCAGCAGCTACAGCAACGATAACTGATAAAAACAACAATCAATGATTGAGAACAATTGAGGAAGAGAAAGATACGAGATACAACAAAAACTGTTTAACCCAACCCAAAAAGGAAGCAAGAAATTTAAATGGGGAAACGACAACAAAAAATAAATAAATAAAAATATAAACTTTAATGAGACAGGTGAGAAGACCAGAGAGAAGGGTGTGTCGTCTGTCCGACTGTTAAATGTGAAGCAAGGATCGAGTTAACACTTAAAATCATATTTAATATTATTTAAAAAAAAAAAAAAAGTATTTTTTACTTCAAATACAACACAAAGACTACCCATCAAAATAAATGTTTAAATTGTTTTAATATTTATCTCAATTATTTCAACATTCAAAGAATTTATTTACACAATTTTCCCCTAAAGAGACGTTTTTTTTTTTACCAAACTTCCCACCAAGTGATCTTTAAAGATCCCACTTAACGTGAACTATAAAATCAACCAAAAGCAAATTCAAACCCTTGTTCTCTGCGTCTGATATATGCATAACCCATATATATATAGACTGACTGACATTTCAAGGCTAAAAAACACACACACACACACGCAACAGAAGTTTTAAAGGCCACTGGGTGAACCCTTTTTGTTTTTTCTTGACAGAGATACTGTACAGGGGGGGTTGCACGGCTTATGGATGGGGGTGTAAACAGACCGTCAATCAAGTAAAACCCCCCATGACCAAATGGTCAAAGACTGAGACTCTCACTTACGTCATGCCAGAGAAATAAGGGAAATATCGTACAAAAAAACACCCAAAAAAAAATATAAAACCAAACACTGAGTCTTAAAGCCTCAAAAAATGTTACAATTGCAGTGCCAAGAAGCACATAAAACAGGGGAATGGAAATGCTATATATTGCATATAGAAGAGACAGATATGTCAGTTGGTAAATGGTGGTAGATGGTTGGTAGTTTGTACATTCATGCATATATATGTATGGCATATGGTAAAGTGGTGGCTGCTTGGCTGCTTTGGTAGCTTAGCTGGCTGGCTGGCTGGCTGGCTGGCTGGCTGCTTTGTTGCTTGGTTGCGTTTGCAAATGCTCAGCCAGGTGAGACGCCGCGCGTTTGTTGTATCCACTGACTGTCTGCCTCTCTCACTCACTCATTCACTCACTCTGTGTGTGTCTCTCGCCAACTCAGGTGTGACAAATAATTATACCATATACCTGTACCTGTACCTGTGTCTGTATATAAAATATACATCATGCTCGTACATATATTTTCAGGCAGCAAAAGTTCATTAAAAGGCGCTCACTGTAGAGGCACCGCACCACACCGCACCACCACCACCTTTTCAGTAGCAACAAACAAAAACTGTGTCTGTGTTGGGGGTTTTTTGTGATGTTTGTGTCAAAGCCTTTTTGCCGGCCGACACTTTTCTGACTCATTAATGCCCGACCTGCCGCCTGCCGCCTGCTGCCTGCCTGCCGGTTGACTGCTTGCCAGAGAAGAACATTTTCAATTAGAAAAGTGCGTTCTGAAATGTGGAAACTCCGATCAAGAGTTAAAGGCCACAAATAGCGGCAACGGGAAAAGCTGTTGAGAAAAACTGTACCAACGGCTGCAGGGGGTCCAGTCCATGGCCTGTCTTGTGTGTGTGTATGTTTTTCGGCCTGAGCCAATTGTTCAACAATTTGTGGCATTTACGCCGCAGGGAAGCAGCTCGCTCTCCAAGTTGGTTTGGGGGAATTTAGATTTCTGGGGTTTTTTTTTTTTTTTTGGAAGACATGGCCAAGTGCTCAGGCTGTTCAAACGGGGCGCCCAATCAGTGTAAGATCAAACCCCCAGAGCTGATGCAGGAAGAGAGAGGATAGGATAGAGAGGATAAAACGGTAAAAGTCTTTTATAATGGATTTGGGTTTGGATTTTTATAGAATCTTCATAATTAAAGCAACTGTCGGTGCCTGTGCGGTCAACCAACTTTACATAAATCTATTTTCTATAATTATCAATATGATTTATGATTTCCTTTCTCTCTCAGCCACATTTGCATACGAGATTAAGCCATCAAAGGAGTTAAAGCACAAAGCCAAAGAGCCAAAGAGCCAAAGCGCCAGCCATTTAATTACATTCAATGCAAATGAATAACCAATTGTTTTTGCCGCCAAATGGGGCCTCAATTAATTGATTGCATTTGCTGGCCGACGCCTGAAACATAATTTAGTATTTATCATTTTGATAGCTAAGCAATCAATTGATTGACTCTCTAATACTCGGTTTGACTATCGTTTATCGAGCACACACACTCACCTTTTGCCAATCGGAAATTTTCATATAAATTTCACGGAGCTTCCTTCCCAATTTTTTGTATTCGCCCAATTAAAGTCTGCAAGAAAATAGAGAGAGGGGAAAATGTTTAAACTTTAGTTTTTCGCAGTATTGATTAAGGTGCGGTGTGGAACATTTTTGGCAATTGACTGGCACCCCCTGCACGGGACAGTGCGTTGCAGTAATGTAAATATATGGGAATAATGCAATTTCCCATAAACTAAAAGAAATAATCCCTTAGGCCTTACTTAAAAGAAACTCTCCCAAGATTATAATTCGATATAATGCAATCAATATATTTATCGATAAATTATTGATATCGATATTGATTGCATTGTTTACGAACATAAATATTTATCTATAAGCTCATTGGTATATTTGATGATCGATAAATTTATCGATAATGTTGAAATGATCGATAACGGAAAATAAACTGACACCAAAGTTAAACTGAATAAATAAATAATTCAATCACTATTGATAAATCGATATCGTTTTCGATGACGCACAACGTTGATACCGATTGGGATGGGACTCTTTTCAGCCAAATAACTGACAAATGTCGATAATTATCAATAGCAGTACGAAAGCTGATTTCAATTAAACAAAAAATCCTCAACTCCTTTTTATTTTTTGTTTGAGTTGAATTGAGATTTTTAATTCAATTAACTCCACTGATGCCCTGTTGCACTGCACTATTGAAACGCACTGTATGAATGAAGTATCCGCGCATCAGCAGCGTGTGCTACAGCTGCTCCTGCTGCACCTGCTTTTACCCCCTTCCTTTTTCCCGAGCAGCAACATCTCTGCTCCAACCATTGATGGATTCCCCAATCTTCTGGCACCTTTTTTGCGAACATCCTTTACGTTTTCATTCCTCTAGCATTTTGTTTTTATTGCATTGCAATTGCAAAATGCTCTCGCTTGCAGTTCAATTCAATTTATCTTTGATTTTCACGGCAGCACTCTCTCGCCATGTGAATTCACTTCCCCCCTTCCCCACACGCCCAGTGCACTTGCCATTTGCCACCCACCTTTCAGTTTGATTAATTTTGTATGTTTTTTGAGTCTGCCCAAGTGGAACGTGGCAGCATCTTCTACTGGATTTCATTTCCGATGGGAAGGGGGATGGCCAAACTAATTACAGTTTTTGTCAGCCAGAGACCAGAGCCAGAGCCAGAGAGGTGACTAAGAGCTTACTTTGTCCTTTGTCCATTGTCCGTTTGGTTTTTAGTAAATTGAATTTGCAATTAGCGACCACCGAAATCAATTTGCCTTCTCCACAAAACTCTTTCGCTTGTTGCTGCACCTAAAATGCTTGTTCCTTCTGCTCCCCAGCTACCTCTTTGGCTACACTTTTGCTCCTCAGATGGATGCCTCTTTGGTTCCTCTGCTCTATTGCTCCCCAGATGCCTCTTTGGTTCCTCTGGCTGCTGCTGCTTGTGCTGTAAATTTTGTGTGTAGCCTCATCGTAAATCGTCCTTTGGTGCTGCCAGCTACATTTATGCAGCAGCAGCAACAGCAAGGCGCTCCTGGCGAAAAATTGCAGCTGACAAAAGGCCACAAAACAAAACAAAAATCAACACAAAAAACGGTACACGGGCACGGTGCACGGGGCACAGCTACCAAACTAATTTTATTACAACGCCACAGCCAAAGAGACCCCAAACAGGAAGGCAAGGGGAGGCGCACGGCTCTGGGAAAACAATGTCAGTTTTACATTTGGTCATTTTGCTTTGGCCACTGCCACTGCCACTTCTGCCAGCTCTGCCTCTTTTATTTATTTGTATTTTTTGTTGTTTCTGTTCCTGTATACACGTTGGAAAATTTAGCATATGTTGTTTAAATGTTTAATGAAATCCGCCATAGTGCCACACACAGAGTTGCATTTGCCATACCCAAAGCCTACCTACCCACCTCCCTTCCTCCCACCCGTTTTT